AGCAGGGTCCTGGGAGAGCTGGTGGCAGGTGGGAAAGGCCGAGCTCCAGCCTCTAAACTGCGGCCGTTTCCACACGACCCGGGAGTCCGCTCCTGCTCCCGAGACTCGGGAAGCGCCGGCCCCAGCCGTGGCCATAACGGTGCCGAAGGCTCACGCGCACCCGCGATCGGCGAAGCCACGGGAGGCGAGCCCAACGCCACGGCCGCCGTCACCTGCCGCCCTCTGTGGAGTAACAACGCGAAACAAACTCCACTTAGTAACAAAGATGGCGCCCTGGCCGGTCTGGCTCAGTGGATAGCGCGTCGGCCTGCGGACTGAAAGGTCCTGGGTTCAAGCCGGTCAAGGGCACAGGCCCGGGTTTTGGGCTCGATCCCCAGCGGGGGGCGTGCAGGAGGCAGCCGATGGGTGATCCTCTCTCATCATGGATGTTTCTCTCTCTCCCTCTCCCTTCCTCTCTGACATCAATAAAATACATTAAAAAACAACAATAATAACGAAGATGGATGCAGGCATTAGTTCCACGCAGCTCCTCACGGCCGGAGCCCGGCTTTGGCTGAGCGGCCGGGTGCCATGGCCGGGACGGTGACGCCGGCTGCGCTTTCTCTTCCCGACAGCGGTTACGGCGGCAGGTGGCCGGGCTCCGGCAGCAGCTCCAGACACAGCAGGCCCACTGGGCCGCCGTCCTCCGCGACCTGCAGACGCAGATGGACGCCCTGAAGGAGCAGGCCCCGCGGCCGCTGGGGCCCGACGCCAGCACATCCGTGGCCTCCGCTAGGCCGAGGAGACACACAGACACTCCGGTAGGTACCAGGCTCTTCCGTTTGACCTGAAAGCAGCTGGTTAACGGGGCGGGTGCGTCCCTGCCAGGCGGGGCAGTGCTGTCTCTCAGCTCTCTGGCCCCGTGGCCTCCGTCCTCATGAATAATTCACAACAGTCACTGCCCAGATCGGCTCTCACGGGCCAGCACGTCTGGTGACCAGGCATCTGATCACATGGCAGCCGCCACCACGGGGCTCTCCCCGCCTGGCGTGTGGGGCGCTCACTTGCTCACAGTGACCCTGTGAGATGGAGCCTATGGCCACAGCCACGTTGGTCCCGTGGCTGGTGGCCCCTAGCTGCATGTGAACAGCCTAAGACACCCCCACCCGAGGGCCTCGGGGCACGGGACACGGCCGTGTCCTCTTGTAATGTCTCCGCGAGGACACGCTCCTGGGGGCGACCTGGGGTTGTTTCCTTTGTTGCCTCTGGGAACCGGGATATCGTGAGGTAGAGCATGACAGCGAGACACCCACGCCCACGTGGCTGCACAGGACTTGGCGGCTTCCGCGAGGATCCTCCACGTGGAGGGGACCCCGGTCCAGTCCCCCCTCCCCGGCCTCCCTCCCTCATCTCCGGCTGCTGCCATGACTGTCGAATGGGGTAATGAGTTTACGTCGCAGCCGCAGTGCCTGTGATGACGGGACGCCCCCTGAATCCTGTGTGTGACCCATTGCCTTTCAGGCAGCGAAACCTGCTTGTGGAAGAGGGTCCCCTCCGTCGGCCGGTGAAGACACGACGAGGAAACATGCTGCCCGGAGCCGCAGCGCCCCTCTCCTTGGGCGGGCGCTGTCACCCCGGAGCGCACCCTCTTCCCAGGTGACCCCGAGCGCGCCTGCCTGCGACAGGAAGTGGAGGCCCGGGACCCGTCAGGAGCCCCCCCGCAGCTCCTCTCCAGCTCCCGCCTTCCGGGGTTGCAGTTCCCCCCCTGCCCCCCTCCCCCGCCCGTCACGGCCGCCCAGGGTCATGCTTGCCCGAGGCCAGCTTTTAAAGTAGCAAAAAAAAATATATATATATATTGATTTCAGAGAGGACGGGAGCGTGAGAGAGGGATAGAAACATCAATGATGAGAGAGGATCAGGGATCGGCTGCCTCCTGCACGCTCTCCACGGGGGATCAAGCCCGCAAACCAGGCATCAGGCCGAGACCTCCTGGTTCATAGGTCAACGCTCGGCCACTGGGCACACTGGCTGGGCTTGCACACCTTTAAGCCCAGTTCTCAGGGCTCCATGTTGCTGCGATGGCCCATCTCCCCTCCACGTGCAGCCATGGCTTTCCTGAGTCCCACAGCCGCTGGGCTGTCAAACGGGCAGAGGGGGCTCCGCGTCCTGTGTTCCGGGCGCAGAACCAGCGCTTCGTAGTGGAGCTCCCGGAGGCCCAGCCGGGCCCGCGCTGGCGTTTCTGGTAACAGATGGCTCCTAACGAGGCCCACGCTTGTTTCCAGCCGATCGGTGTAACGGTGGAGAGAATCGAGTCGGGGAAAATGGTGTCCTATGAGGGTGGAGACAAGGCCGTGTCCATCCGCCTCCTCATCCGAAGGGCAGCACCTGCCCGGCCGGGGCTCCGTGCGGAGGGGAAGCCGGCTCCCCGGGAGGTCGCCAAGGTACCGTGAGAAAACGGCTCTCATCGACACGGTTACAGGCAGAGCTTGGGTGTAGGTGACATTCCACTTTGGTCTCACACGAATCCTTCATTCTTTACGCAAAGTTTAATTATTGGGATAATTACACTCCCATAGCATTACGCTGGTAAGATGAACTGGCTGAACTGATCTCCGTGGGCTCGGCCAGGCTCTGTGTGTTTCTGCATTTTTAAACCGTGACTTTCCGTGCAGCGCCCAGTGCAGTACTGTGGGCCAGGTCCTGGGGCCTTGAAAGCATTTACGGCCTGGCCGGCTGCCCTGTGAACGCTGAGCATCATAGGGGCTGAGCGTCGACCATGACCCAGGAGGTCCCGGTTCGATTCCCGGTCGGGGCACAGGCCCAGGTTGTGGGCTCGATCCCCAGTGGGGGGCGTGCAGGAGGCAGCTGATCCGTGATTCTCTGTCATCACTGATGTTTCTCTCTCTCTCTCCCCCTCCCTTCCTCTCTGAAATCAATAAAAATATATTTAAAAAGCGTTCATCATTGAAAAGACAGGATTAGATTTGCATTAGAAAATAAATTCATTTAAAAAAGAAGATGATGCCGGGGATGTGGCTGACCCGCTTGCTCCCGCTCCTCCCGTGTTTCGTGCGACCTCCTGAGACGAGGACTGCATTCTCTCCGCAGAACCTTCCGGTAGAACCAGCATCTTCCCCGGGCACAGCCCGGCCCACGGGCACTGGGACAGAGAAGGAGGGAGGAGCCAGGCGCCCGGCCGGCCAGGTGGGTAGGCGGCTCCAGACACGCCCTCCTGAGCTGCCCGCCTGCCACCCAGGCCAGGCGCCCAGCGTCTGCCGGCATCACTAGTGCAAGGCCGGCAGGTGTTTCCAGAACCCGGAGCCGCAGGCTTCCCGCCGCCTCGGCCCCCACGCTCAGCCCCGGGGAGAGCGCCCTCTGAAGGACACGCCGGTGGTGGGGCCCGGGATGGGCCGGGGAGGGACGCGCGGCCGCCAGGGTGGTAAGGTCTCAGGAGCGTCCGCTGGGTGGGACCGGGACGCCAGCTCCCTGGGCCGCCTAATGGTCCCCTCCCTGGAGCCGAGGGCGGGCGGAAGCCTCCTCACTGCCCCCCCCCTGCTCCCCCCCCCCCCCCCGCGGCCTGAACAGGTGCATTCATGCTCTTGGAGCTGGATGTTTAGTGAGTGGACCGCGGGAACGCTGCTTGGGGAGCAGCTGGAATCGGCTAAACGAGTCCTTTTTCTTTGGTGGAGTCGTTATCGGGGGTAAGGGTTTTCGGCGGGGGGCTTATGTAAGTCGAATGCCTGATCTTACATCTCAAGGGGGGATGAGAAACAAGCTGTGTCCCCTAAGTATTTGGGTGCCTGGGTGGACCTGTCACTCAACCTCGGCCCCCTCCTGGGCTGTGGGCACAAAAACCAGGCCTCTCTGCTTCCTCCTCTGAGCCCCACCCACCTGCCTGTCCCCAGGTTCTTGCCTCACCCCTGCCCCCTCCCTGCCCTGCCCCCTCTCCCTGCCCTCACCCCCTCACCTCTCCCCTCTGGCTCCCCTTCACTGGATGCGAAGCTGGAAGTCTTTGTGGCTCATTTGCATGTTTCTCTCCTTACAATGAAACCCCCAAACACTCCCGGTTCATGGTGTTCCCATGAGAACACTGAAGACGTCCTTTGTGCCTCTTCATTTCTGAGGGGAGACCAGCTCTTTACGCCTCACTGGGGGTCACTGTAGGTTAAGCCCTTAAGCCTCTACGACCGAGGGACACACCTTTGCGTCATTTATCTGGTGGGTTTGGGGTGAACTTGTGGTCTTGGTTCAAACCTCAGGCTGATGGATGGCTGTTGTGGGGCCAGTAGGGGGGGCCGGCGGGGGGGCCAGCGGGGGGCCTGCCATCGACCTGCCTGGTGGGTGCAGGGGACACACAGAGCCCAGCGTGGGGGTCAGGCCTGTGCGTTTTCCCGGTGGCCTCGGCTCGGCCCCTGAGCCGTGTGGAGTGACAGACGTGGTGGAGTGACGCTCAGTCCCTGATAGTCGCCCGTCGCCTCTCAGAATCTCCGCGTGTGGCTTCCTCTCGAGTGTCGCCGCGTCTCCGTCAGCGTCTCCCTGTGTTAACCTGACAGGCATTTGAAGGCTTTTTCTGACTTCCTAGCTCCGCGTGATGCCCGTGCGGCTACGTGAGACTTGCCTTTTGTAAGAGAAACCAATCCCCTCTGGACAAGGTGGTGGCGTGTGGCCAAGGGCCTGGGGCGGGAAGGAAGGAAAAGTACACGAAGGACAAGTCTACGTGGAAATCACCGTTTACGGGTCAAGGTTTCCAGCTCCACCAGCGCCAGGAGCTCGGTTACCCAGGCCGAGGGCTGATAGGCTGATGATCTGCATAGCGACCTGGAGGAAACGCATTTGCAGGGCGAAGGATCGCATTCGCCCCTCGTGGGCAGGCCCCGGGGCGGGCGTGGGGCCGGTGGGTTAGTGTCTGTTCACGGAAACCACAGGCGGGCCCACGGCCACGGCACAGGCCAAGGAGGGTGTGGAGGAGGAGGAGGGAGACACGGGGTCATGTTCTCTCCAATCCGGGTCTTTGTGTCTCCGCGAAGGTGGGCGAGACACGCGGCGCGGGCTGCAAAGACGCCGCGGACGAGGGTCTCAGGACCACCATCGTGCGGTTCTCCAACGGGGACGTGAAGAAGACGCTGCCGGACCAGCGAGTGGTGCGTGCGGCCGCGGACCCGCCTGAAAAGCAGCGAAGCCGACCAGTCAGTGGGACTTTCCCTTGGGGGGAGGGGTAGCTGGGCAGAAAATGGGCCACTTGGGCCTCCATTTGCCAGTCGAGGTGAGAATTCCCTGGGCCCCTGCGGAGTGGCTCCTGCCCGTCTCCAGGGCCGCTCGCTGGTCTCCAGGGGACACTGGGGCCTGGGAGGATAATTCTTGCAGCGACAGATAATGAGCACTGTCTGCATTCATCTCACTACGGACCATTATTCCCGCACCCCGTCCCAGCCTGTCCCTGCAGCCCCAGTCTGTCCCAGCACCTCCTGCAGCCCCTGTACCCCCAGCCTGTCCCTGCAGCCCCGGAATCTCCAGCTGCCAGTGGCGGGTGGGACAGCTGTGGTTCAGGGTCGCAGGGCCCACGGGTCGCGCTCACTGGGAAACAGTGGGGTCTGGATGTGCTACAGGCGAGGCCACCATGGTCAGGCGGCCTCAGGTGCCAGGGCCCGTCCAGGTGAAGGGCCAGGGCCGTGCCACGTCCGGCGACCTCTCCCACTGTCTTGTTTCTGGGGCTTTGAGGACGATCCTCTTCAGAGCCCACCTCCCTCCCCAGGGGCGGGCCCTCCTCACCTCCCGTCCCTCCATCCCCCGACAGGCAGGCCCAGCCTCTCCACCAGGAAGCAGGAAGTGCTTCCCCAGAGGAGACCCGGGCTCGCGATGACAGCACGGCTGCCCCGACGCCATGTCTCTGTGCCTGCAGGTCCACTACTGCGCCAGCACGGGGACGACGCGCACCGTCCACCCCAGCGGCCTGGAGGTCGTGCGCTTTCCCGACAAGCGGACAGGTCGGTGGCGTCACCCGGGGCCTGTGCGACACCTGCCTGCCGCGGGCGAGCCATGTGCCGGGCACCGTGTGGGGCCGTGAGATACGGGGGCCTGTTAGCCAGTTCTCCGTGGGGCCTCATCCGGTGACTCGGGGCTTGAGCTGTTTAATGAAAACCCAGGCGCGCTTCTCTCCCGGTTCTTCCCATCACGGCGAGCCCGCGGCTGCAGGGCGCCAAGTGCCTAAGGGACGGCACCAGACCCTCTGGCGGGTCAGTGGTTTGGCTTCTGCTCATCAGCGCGGGCCAGCGTGTGCGCCGTGAGTGTGGGCTGGCGTGTGCGCCGTGAGTGTGGGCTGGCGTGTATGCGGTGAGCTTGAGCTGCTCTGTGCGCCGTGGACCGGCATGCGCGTCGTGACTGTGAGCTGGCGTGTGCGCTGTGGGCTGGCGTGTGCACCGTGAGTGTGAGCTGGCGTGTGCACTGTGAGTGTGAGCTGGCGTGTGCGCCATGAGTGTGAGCTGGCGTGTGCGCTGTGAGTGTGAGCTGGCGTGTGCGCTGTGGGCTGGCGTGTGCGCTGAGTGTGAGCTGGCATGTGCGCTGTGGGCTGGCGTGTGCGCCGTGAGTGTGAGCTGGCGTGTGCTGTGGGCTGGCATGTGCGCTGTGAGTGTGAGCTGGTGTGTGCACCGTGGGCTGGCGTGTGCACCGTGAGTGTGAGCTGGCGTGTGCGCTGTGAGTGTGAGCTGGCATGTGCACTGTGGGCTGGCGTGTGCACAGTGGGCTGGCGTGTGCGCCGTGAGTGTGAGCTGGTGTGTGTGCTGTGGGCTGGCATGTGCGCTGTGAGTGTGAGCTGGCGTGTGCACTGTGGGCTGGCGTGTGCACCGTGAGTGTGTGCTGGCGTGTGCACTGTGAGTGTGAGCTGGCGTGTGCGCCATGAGTGTGAGCTGGCGTGTGCGCTGTGAGAGTGAGCTGGCGTGTGCGCTGTGGGCTGGCGTGTGCGCTGAGTGTGAGCTGGCATGTGCGCTGTGGGCTGGCGTGTGCGCCGTGGGCTGGCGTGTGCGCCGTGAGTGTGAGCTGGCGTGTGCGCTGTGGGCTGGCATGTGCGCTGTGAGTGTGAGCTGGCGTGTGCACCGTGAGTGTGAGCTGGCGTGTGCGCTGTGAGTGTGAGCTGGCGTGTGCGCTGTGGGCTGGCGTGTGCGCTGAGTGTGAGCTGGCATGTGCGCTGTGGGCGGGCGTGTGCGCCGTGAGTGTGAGCTGGCATGTGCGCTGTGGGCTGGCGTGTGCACTGTGAGTGTGAGCTGGTGTGTGCACCGTGGGCTGGTGTGTGCACCGTGAGTGTGACCTGGCGTGTGCGCTGTGAGTGTGAGCTGGCATGTGCACTGTGGGCTGGCGTGTGCACCGTGGGTGTGAGCTGGTGTGTGTGCTGTGGGCTGGCATGTGCGCTGTGAGTGTGAGCTGGTGTGTGCGCCGTGGGCTGGCGTGTGCACCGTGAGTGTGAGCTGGCGTGTGCGCCGTGAGTGTGAGCTGGTGTGTGTGCTGTGGGCTGGCATGTGCGCTGTGAGTGTGAGCTGGCGTGTGCACCGTGGGCTGGTGTGTGCACCGTGAGTGTGAGCTGGCGTGTGCGCTGTGAGTGTGAGCTGGCATGTGCACTGTGGGCTGGCGTGTGCACCGTGAGTGTGAGCTGGTGTGTGCGCTGTGAGTGTGAGCTGGCATGTGCACTGTGGGCTGGCGTGTGCACTGTGAGTGTGAGCTGGCATGTGCGCCATGAGTGTGAGCTGGCGTGTGCGCTGTGAGTGTGAGCTGGCGTGTGCGCTGTGGGCTGGCATGTGCACCGTGAGTGTGAGCTGGCGTGTGCACCGTCTGCTGGCATGTGCACCGTGAGTGTGAGCTGGCGTGTGCGCTGAGTGTGAGCTGGCGTGTGCACCGTCTGCTGGCGTGTGCGCTGTGAGTGTGAGCTGGCGTGTGCGCTGTGGGCTGGCGTGTGCGCCGTGAGTGTGAGCTGGCGTGTGCACCGTGGGCTGGCGTGTGCACCGTGAGTGTGAGGTGGCGTGTGCACTGAGTGTGAGCTGGCGTGTGCACCGTGGGCTGGCGTGTGTGACGTAGTCCTCCCTCCATTCGGTGTGGACTCCAGGTCACAGCGCCCTGGCTGGAGCCCAGGCTCCCAGCTCTGTGTGTTCGCTTCGCGAGGCTTGAGTTCTCCCGGTCACTGTGTGGGGTCCCCGTGGGGTTCATGTTGGTGGTGATTGTCCTCAGGGCCCAGCCCTCTCGGTGCAGACGCGTCGGGTGGTCCCTCCCCCGTGGAGGGCTCCTGGCTTCCGTGTCCTCCACGTCCGCGTCAGCACCTCCCTCGCCCCCAGGAACCTCGAGTGAATGTGGCCTCTGGCGCGTGCCTGGGAGCGGGCACACGCAGTGGCTGTCTCCGCATCCCGTGTCCCTGTGGTCGCCTCTGTCTGTGTGAGGGAGGGATTCAGTCTTCGAGTGTCTGCCCTCTTTGCTGAAACTAACAGAGCCCTGGTCCTGGGTGAGCTTGGTGGTTTCCCAAAGAACGTGCTCGGGGCCCAGCAAGCCTCCCCCGGCCATGGGCCTGTCTGCCCCGGGGCTGCTGGCATTCAGACGTGCCAGAGAGAGGCTGGGACCTGCTTCCTTCATGTGAGTGTGTATAGCCCTGGCTGTTGGCTCAGTGGATAGAGCATAGACCTGCGGACTGAAGGGTCCTGGGTTCGATTCTGGTCAAGAGCACATACCTTGGTTGCAGGCTCGATCCCAGGCCCTGGTCAGGGTGCATGTGGGAGGCAGCCAATCGCTGTGTCTCTCACATCGGTGTTTCTCTCGCCCTGTCTCTCTCCCTCCCTTCTGCTAGCTCTAAAAATCAATGGGAAACTATCCTTGGGTGAGGATTAACAACAACAAAAAGTGTGTGTGTAGGGACAGAGCATGTAGGGTTTGGTGCTGTGTGCAGGTCCAGGCATCCTCTGGGGTCTTGGGGCATATCCCAGAGACAAGGGGACTCTGGAACATGCATTAAAAAAAGGGTAAAGGGGGCCAAAGGCAAAACTTCCAGTTAGAAATAAGTCCCAGGACGTCATGTGCGGGAGGGTGACTGTCTATATACCAGAGGCCTGATGCACGAAATTCGTGCAAGAGTAGGCCTTCACAACCGCGGCTTCATCCGGAAGGTCGTCCGGAAGGGTGTCCGGATGGTCGTTCCGCTGTTTGGCCGTTCAGTCGATTTGCATATTACACTGTTATTATTATACTAGAGGCTGGGTGCACGAATTCGTGCACTGGTGGGGTCCGGTCGGCCTGTCCCAATTGGGGCTGATCAGGCTGGGCTGGCCAGGGAGAGGGGACACAGGAGGTTGGCCGGCCAGCCCCACCCTCAATTGCTGTGGGGAAGGGGTGATTGGAGATGGGGCCGGCTGTGGGGAGAGCCCATGGGTAATTGGCAGACCAGCCCTGCCCCCTGGTCAAACTCCCGGTCAAACTCCTGGTTAAGGGGACAATTTGTAGATATATAAATGCCTAATATGCCAATTGTCCCCATGGGAGTTTGACCAAGAGTTTGATTGCTCGCTATGATGTGCGCTTACCACCAGGGGGCAGCGCGGAACAAAGGAAGGCCCTGTCCAGCAGCCAGAAGGCCTCTATCGGCCCTGATTGCCGGCCAGGCCTACGGACCCTACCTGTGCACGAATTTCATGCACCGGACCTCTAGTAGTTAATAATACTTATTGCATATTTGCAAGTGGCTGAGAGATTAGATCCAGGAATTCTCATCACAAGAACAGACATCTTTATAACTATAACTCTGTGTGGTGTGGAGGTTAATGAGCCTGGGTGTTCTGTGACCATTGTGCCTCCATAACGAAGCGTGTTCTGCAGAGAAATTCCACCCCGACGGCTCGAAGGAAGTCTTGTTCCCGGACGGGACAGTGACACGTCTTCACGATGGACAAGAGGAGACGGTGTTTCCCGACGGGACGTCGGTCAGCGTGGCCAGGTTGGTGCTGGGACAGGCGATGCCAATCTGACTTTTTGGTTTGTGTAGTCAAGAATTTATTTAGTGGGTGAGCATCGACCTAGGAACCAGGAGGTCACAGTTCAATTCCCGGCCAGGGCACAGGCCCGGGTTGTGGGCTTGATCCCCAGTGTGGGGTGTGTAGGAGGCAGCCGATCCATGATTCCCTCTCATCATTGATGTTTCTCTCCCCCTCTCTCTTCCTCTCTGAAATAAATAATAAAAATATACTTTAAAAAAGAGTTTATTTCGATTAATTTTTTAAAAATATGTTTTTAATATGGTACATAGGTTGACACCCAGCCAATGAGCCACACCAGCTGGGCACTTTAGAGTAATTTTTGTGAAAGCCTAGGTGTTCGTCCCCATTTAGTAATAGAACACGGGGCCACTGGCCCTGAAGTTTGGTGTTTTGACCTGAATTCCTTCGTGGAGAACATGGGTTTAACACTGATTTTTAAAAAATATTTTTAATTGATTTTTTTACAGAGAGGAAGGGAGAGAGAGAGAGAGAGAGTTAGAAACATTGATGAGAGAGAAACATCGATCAGCTGCCTCCTGCACTCCCCCCCCCCCCCACTGGGGATGTGCCCACAACCCAGGTACATGCCCTTGACCAGGATCGAACCTGGGACCCCTCAGTCCGCAGGCCGACACTCTATCCACTGCCGGGGTCCAACCCCAGCAGGTCCAGGGGTCCCCAAAGGTGTGGACGGAGTCGGCGAAGAAGGAAGGGCACGGAGACAGTGTTCAGTTGATCAGCAGCCTAGCCAGGATCTCTAGCCAGGATCTCCAGCCAAGTTCTGGTCTGGATCTCCAGCGAAGTTCTGCTTCAGATCTCCAGCCAGGTTCTGTGTCCATGTTCTCTTGCTAGGTTCTCCAGCCAGGTTCTGTCCTGGTTCTCCAGCCAGGTTCTGTAGCCATGTTCACTCGCTAGGTTCTCCAGCCAGGTTCTGTGTCCATGTTCTCTTGCTAGGTTCTCCAGATTCTCCAGCCAGGTTCTGTAGCCATGTTCCCTCTCTAGGTTCTCCAGCCAGGTTCTGTCCAGGTTCTCCAGCCAGGTTCAGTCACCAGGTTCTAGTCAGGTTCTCTTGCCCATTTCTGTAGTCAGGTTCAGTCCAGGATCTTTTGCCATGTTCTCTCCAGCGAAGTTCTTCTGTCTCTAGTTCTGTGTAGGTTCTGTGTTCTCTCTTCTGTGTTCTAAGTTCTGTGTCTTGCTGTCTTATTACATCTGTATTTATACCAGTTGATTCAATCCTATCAATCTCTATTACAAAGGTTAGGGCGTTTCTTATCTCCATTCCAGGGAGTAAAGATTATGTAGCTTAAGCATGATTGTTCGTAGTTAAAGTGATTAATTACCCACCTGGCACTAGTTAAGAGGTTTTATTCCCTCCCTAACTTCAGGGGAAAATCCCTACCTGGGGAAACAACCTTTCTCAGAGACCTTGGTTAAAACACATAGTGCCAAGAAGGTGAGCAAACATATTAAGAACAGTATGCCACTGAGCCACACCGGTCAGGGCGAACACTGATATTAAGTGTTCTCATGCTTGAATTTTAACCACGAAAACAATTCCAGTCTCGGGCGGGTGCCCCCTGAGACCATGCTGTCTGGAGGCCCAGTCCAGAGCGGACACACGCAGACACCGTGTAAGACACGGAGAAGGGCTGTGGGCGCTTCTCCTGATGCAGAACGTGCAGCGCAAGACCCTGGACCCCCCTCCCCAAGCCCCCTGCAGGTGGGAGGTTTACTCTCGCTGCCCCTTCACCCCAACAGCCACAGGCCCTGAGGATGTGGGACGTGCACCCCCGGCTCCTCCCCCCCTCTCCCTCTCCCCCTCTCCCCCATCTCACCACCACCAGCCTCGCCCTTTCTCTCCCCGGTGACTGCACGGCCCCCCTCTCCCCTCAGCATGGGGTCATCTTGCTTTCCTCTGGGGTCCTTGGTCCTGAATGATGACCATGAAACCCTCCAGTCCCCCTCTTCCTTCCAGATGACACTCCCAGCTCGGGAAGCAGGGTTCTCCATGACCAGGCCCAGCTGGCCCAGCCCGCCTGCCGGCATGTCCCCCGGCTGACCTCCTGGCCCAATGTAGGCCTTCACTGCCCAGCCTTTGTACGTGCCCCTCCTCCCCCCCGCCCACACACACGCACACACGCACATACACTCACACACACACACACACACACACACACACACACACACTGCTCCAAGACCTGGAGGGGGACCCAGGCCCCCCTCCTTCCACACTCGTGGCTCTGGGTCCCGCCAGGAGAGCTGACGCCCCCTTCTCCTCCCCCAGGAACGGCGACAAGACCATCGTGTTCAGCAACGGGCAGCGGGACATCCACACGGCCGAGTTCAAGCGGCGGGAGTACCCCGACGGCACTGTCAGGACCGTGTACTGCGATGGCCGCCAGGAGACCAGGGACGCGTCCGGGAGGGTGAAGGTCAGAGACGAGGCCAGGAACCGTGTCCTGGACTGGAAGTAGGTCACCCACTAACACAGCACAGGCGTCCAGTCGCCGTTTTGTTAAAACAAAAACAATGAACGGATGACACGGTCGCTGCCCCGAACGACGGCCCCACACGAACTCTCGGATCCCGAGGCGCCTGGAGGCTGCGAAGGAAGAGACGCCGTGTCTGGCTTCCTGGTTAGAGAAGCCTGAGGCCCCACCAGCCAGGGGTCCCCAGAGGGGCCGGGACCCAGGAGGCTGCAGGCCGGCCCCGTGGACCGTGTGGCCTCGCGCACGTGGCAGTCTGTCCTCTTGGTCCCTCGGTGGCCCTCAGTCCTCACGGTGTTTCCTTCCCTCCCATCCGGGCACTCGGCCTTCTCGTGGCCCCGGGTTCTTGCCTGCGTCTGCAGACACCCGTCTCTGTAAACAGACCTAGAAGGAAGGCAACCACATCCCTGCCACTGAAGGGAATAAAATGGGGTATCTCCTGTTACCTTCTTTGTGTTATAACTATTTTGTATGTTTTATATTAACTTTTTATTGAAGATCATTTTGACTCATAGATCGGAGAGCAGGTTCAGACCTCTTCGTCTCTGTCCTCTCGTGTTTCTGGGCTGTGGCTGCTAGCACCTAGTTTGATATACACGAGGCAAAACCACCCACCCACCCTCCACCCACCTACCAACCACCCTCCAATCAACCCACCAACCAACCACCAACCAACCAACCAAACCAACCACAACCACCCACCACCCACCACCCACCACCCACCACCCACCACCCACCACCCACCCACCATCCACCAACCAACCAACCAACCAAACAACCACCAACCAACCAACCAACCACAACCACCCACCACCCAACCAATCAACAACCCACCACCCACCCACCACCCACCCAACGAACCACCCTCCAACCAACCCACCAACCAACCACCAACCAACCAACCAACCACAACCACC